TCTGTCTTGGCACTCGCTTTTCTCAGCGAAGGGCCCGGGTGGGGTGAGGCTGCCTCTGGATGTCGGCAGGTCCTTGAACGCGCAGGGTGGGGCTCCATTCTGGAACGCCGGCTTGGGTGCTTGGGAGTAAAGTTTGAGTTAGGGAAATGGGGTGAGAAGCGATTCTGCCTGGCTGCAGCGACTTTTCCTAACTTTGCTCCCTCACAAACAGCTCATTAAAATGAAAAAAAACAAGTGAAAAGCCCAAATATTTGATAAGCCATAGATTTGTTGATGCATTTATGGGGGGGACTTAAACTCACAGTTTGCTTGGTTAATATCTTTCCCTGATTTTGGGAGGCTCTAATGATCTCTGTGAGAAATTGCTCTCTTTTGTTGGGGTATTTTTTAAAATCTGCAGTAGAGTCCACCTGCAGATCTCTTCCTTAACTTCCTCCAGTTTCACGTCACCAAGTTTACCAAACTCCATGAGTTCCACTTGCTGGAAACAGGCTTGTTTTTCCTGATGTCCTGGAGTACGTTTCTGTTGGCTGAAGCGTGTGGTTTTACTGGTAAGCTGTGATGTGCTTCTTGTACCACTTGAATGGAGTTGGCCCAGGAATTTTCCCAGACTGCTGTGAGATTTAAATCGTGTCCAAACCAGCAGTGACCCCACTTCTCTGATGCTGCAAAGACCAGCCACGCTCTCAGAAAGAGTCACCGCTCCCAGAAACCCCTCGGGACAGTTCAGGCAGGGGAGTTGAGGATCTGGGATTTCAAGTAACTGAAGTCATGTGCCTTCAAGCACTGGAGGACCCCAGTTTTCTCTGAGATGTCTCCAATGGGGCCAGGTGCTTTCTGGCCTGGAAGTGAGGGGGGGGAGGTAGAGCTGCTTATGCAATATGGAGTGATACAGGTATGGCACCTGTTGGGGCTGATGACTCTTGCTCTCATCTGTCAGATGAAAATTCTGTATAACTAAAAAGCATGGGGATTTCAGTGGTTGGGCTCAGGCATTATGCTAACATTTTGCTTTAACAAGGGTTTGCTCAGAAAGTTAAGGTGATCAGGCTGAAAGCTAATGCCAAGCCCTAAAATTTGGTTTATCAGTCTCTGCAGCACCCACCCATCGTGCTAAACCATAATAAAGGGGTTTTTGTTTTGTTTTGTTTTGTTTGCTTTTGGCTTGGAGTTCTAGCTTACATGTTTTAGCCAAGCTGCTGTGACTTATTCACCCAACCCTGGTTTTAAAAATGTGGGTTTAGTGCCGAATCCAACCCCTGCCCAGGGCAAGAATCCAGTTGAGCATTCTCCACCAGAGAGACGGTTATCCAACCTCTGCTTGAATGCATCCAGCGAAAGAGAGGCCACCCTCTGACTGGGACCTTGGTGCCCAACTGCTCTTAGCTTGTTAGAGTATTTGTAGCCCACCCCACTTTTCTAACGATCTCAGAATGGTTAGCAGTCATAAAATATCTAGGTTCGTACCTTGCCTTGTGGAGCCATACCTATAGACATAGTTGCTGTGTTGAAGAAACACTGGCGATGGGCTTTGGGTGCCGCAGAATACCGTTTTAATCCAGTATTTTGTCCCCAGGAGTGGTGGCGGTTTTGTTCTGTGGCATCACTCAAGCTCACTATACTTATAACAACTTGTCCACAGAATCGCAGCACAGGACAAAGCAGGTGAGGTCTTTCACCAAAATGGCCGGGGTGGGACACCTCCCTCATCGCAGGGCGGTTGCAGTCATTTTTTTTAAGTCGCCCACTATCCTCTTCCTCTGCTGCATCAGGCGGGCATGCCCAATGTACATAACAAAGGGACAGTGCTTTAATCACATGGGTGTGGCTACCACATTGACTTTTTTGACCAGTCTTGCACAGATACCCCAGTGCAGATGTCCTGCTCTAGAAGGGTGGACTTCCAATGGATTTTGGTGGTAGATATTTTTTTGGCATAAGATGAAGAGCCAGGGTGGGGTAATAGGGAAGGTGGAAGACAAGATCCGAGGGATCCTTGGTTCAAGACTCTCTTTCCCCATGGGAATTCAACAGGTAATTCAGGATCTAATACATCTATATTTATTAGGCTTATAAATCTAATATATGTAATGCTGGCTTATGTATTTTGTGCTGTTCATGCTTTGAGGAATTCCCTACATTTTAAATAGATATTTTGGATATTGTCATCGCAAGTACAGTGCTGTCTTTGCTCTCTACCTTGTCCAATATTTTAGTTGTTTGAGCTTCTCAACTTCTTGGCGGAGAATTTCATCTTTTCCTACATGGGGCTTACACTGTTCACCTTCCAGAGCCACGTCTTTAATCCTACATTTGTGGTTGGAGCTTTTGTATCCTTTTTCGTTTAAAAAATGAGGGGAAGCTTTTTGTCTATAAACAGATTCTACATCTGTTGCCTAGGATAACAGTCCAGAAAACGAGGGTTAAACGAAGAGAGGTCTGGAGAGCAGACAAAGAGCGTTATTCCCCCTTAAACAGGATTGAAAGATGTCTAGGACAAATAAGTTGTGTAAATTCAGCACTGAATGACATAGGTAATTTAATATGAGCGCTCTCAGTCCTCCTTTTCAGAATTTCCACTGAATAAAAAGCATTGCCTGGAAGTAAAAATCTGGATTTGCATGTTTACGCCTTTTTTGTTTTATCTTGGCTTGTCGAATAAGCCTCCGTTGGTTGGGTTTGCACAGTGTGGTAAGCCCTGGGTCCCAACATGGTGCCTTCGGGCATTTCCTTTGTCCAGCACCAGGCCCCACCTGGTTTTTATTTTATTTTCAGAATTTTCATATTTTCTTAATACAATCAGCCAGATGCTGGCCTGCTGCAAAGCAAAATAATAGGCTTCAAGTGCAGTCTTTATTTTCCAGAATGCACTTTATCCCAAGGACTGTTTAGAAGCTCACCTTGACCTTTATTAGCCCAAGTTGGACCAGGGTTGGCTTAATGGTGAAGAGGTCCCCGAGATGCCATAGGGTGAAATGCAGTGCAACCTGGTCAGTTTGCCTTCTGGAAGCCAGCTGCTGGCAACCATTTGAGGCAAGTCTCCATAACGCGTCAGCTGACCAGGAAGGTTGGGCCCTCTTGCTGCCCGGCAGACTTCACCAACCCGAGTGTCTGGACTCAGTCTGAAAAGACCAAAGCAAGCAAACCTTGTGTTGGCTTTTTTGATCCATGGCACTTTTACTGGCAAGCTTTGCCTGGCTCTGCTTCGCCAGCTGGTTCTGAGAGGTTCTTAACCCATCCGCCTGATGAGGAAGTCAATAAGCCAACATTGGCTCTGTTTGCATGACATGCTAAGTGGCTATAATCAGGGTTAAACAGTGTAAATTTAAAGTGAGCTTGAAAAGACAGAAGAATTTCCTCAATGCAGTCACGAATCTAGCTGGCGGTATTCTTGGGCAGAGCTGCAAACATTTATCCCCTCTCTTTCCTGCTTAACTTGGGGAGACGAAACAAGATTGGAACAAACTTTCAACATATGATGATGTTTGCTGGTGAGTAGCCTTTTTGAGTCCTTCCAACGTGATTGTCACAAATAATTGTATGCTTACTTTAAAGAAAGAAAGGCAGCTATGTAAAGAGATGAAGAATGGAGCCCTTCCAGTTTTTAAGATGTTATTAGAGCGAAGGGAGAGGTCCAGGTAAATATTTCTTATCAAACTGAACAAATGCCTTCAGGAAACAAACAATGAGGGTATGTAGCCAAAGGAGAAATTATGGCCACTTGAAAGACCAGGAGATCATGTGCAGAAAGCTTCAGTCCTGCATAAGTGCTTAGCTGTAATCCATAATCATAAAATACCCTATTAACAGTGGTTGCATTTTACTGACTCTTAACTGCCTTGCTTATTAATGTGACTATATGAAATTCTTGGAAATAGGGGGTTGGTTGTGCTTAAACTTCAAAAAACAAAAAACGCAGTTTAATAAACCCGCAAAGAGATGGGAAGATATTTGTTCCCTTTCTATTTTAATTGCAAAGCTGTATGATTTCCTCTTAGCTGATGCAGAATTACCCTCACTTCCCATTTCTCTAAATCTTATAGTACAGTTCTGCTAACTAGAAATGTGTCAAAAAATGTGTACATACTATGTATGCCCTCCCCTACGAAATACAGTTTACAAAATGTATTTCTTTCAGCAAAATGCACATTAGGCAAACTTATGTCCAGAAATGATTATATTAGGAAAAAGGTACATGAAAATATGTATGAACCCTTATGTGGAGAGAGAGAGAGAGAGGAAATCATGTAATGGCTGAAAGAGAGAGTGAAATGATAGTTATCTCTGCCTTTGAAGATCCCCTTTCCATGTGTGTGCGAAGTTTAACGATAGTTAAGTAATTTTTGGAAATGGACCAAAAAATCAGCAAAGTCTGGGGGGACCCTTCCACGCACCCTTTCTCTCTCCCAGGCCTGCGGGGAGCCATGGCGTTTGCCTTAGCCATCCGGGACACAGCTACCTACGCGCGGCAGGTGATGTTCAGCACAATCCTGCTGATTGTCTTTTTCACCGTCTGGGTGTTTGGTGGTGGGACCACTGCCATGCTCTCGTGCCTGCACATTCGGTGAGTAGAACTTCCGCCCTCTTCCTCAGCTACAAGTGGAATTGGGGTTCCTTAATTTGGGTGGGACATCCTGGGCGTGGGCGTTTTTGAAACAGTGGTGCTTAGAGCCAAGGCCACTTTCAAGAGAACTGCAATGAACTGCTTTGAGCAAGCTGGTTTATGTCTCTTCAGAAGAAGGGGGGTGCTAGCTTCAATTTATTTAATTTCACCAATCTTGTGTTTTTTGCCCTTGTGAAAATTTGGAAGGGTGAGGTGTCCTTTTGGAAAAGAAAGAGCCATGTGTAAGCTGAGTGGGGCCACATCCAGTTGTGAAAGAGATCCTCTTTGCCACTGGGTGTCACCTTGGCTCTGGATGATGAGAGTGAAAACAGTGGCCAAGCAGAGGGAAGAATGAACTGCATCAACCTCCCAAGAGTGCAATCTCGTGGATGCCAGTAGGGTTCACGTTTGAGTAGAGATGCGAGATTTATCCACTTATGCTTCGGAGATTTTTGCATATGTTGATCAATTATGTGCCATCAAGTCAGGATCGATTCTTAGCAACCACACAGATTATCTCCAAGGCAATCTGTCCACAACCTGGTCCTTCTGACCCCCCAATGGTGCACCCATCACCATTGTAGCTGAGCCCCCTGTTTTGCTGCCGGCCATCATCTTCTCTTTCCTTCCACCTTTTCCAGCATCAGAGTCTTCCCATTGCACATTTTGGCATACCTACCTGTGTGTTAATTTACCATATTTAGAGGAGCCCATATAAAAGCTTTTGGGGTGAGGGTTTGTGCGCAACTGGACGGCCAGAGAGCTTTGCACTATTCTCAGTCTGAATGGGAAGAGTAACCATCCTTATGTGTTCTTCCCTGCAGGGTTGGTGTAGATGCTGATCAAGATCATGTGGTAAGTACCTCTCCTCCTCTCTTCTTCATCACTCCCACACTCTTGCGTTGCTAAGTCAGAATTCCCAAGTCCTTGTGGGTTAGGATCACTCCTGAGTCATTTCTCACCTTCTGGCGTGCCCAGTCCTTTCAAGATCTCATTTCTTACCAGCCTGAATGGGGCTCTTTCATGTCCTAATGCCAGGATTCTGCCAGAACTTCGTTAAAGGTGCTACCAATCTCCCCCTGATTTTGGATTAACACAATACAGATCACAACCATAACTAGAAACCATAAGCAATGCACCACGGAAAATATAGATCAAATGGGATTGACTCTGCTCCCCCAAAGCCTGCTATGATCCTGTTTCGTTTCTTCTTTTCCAGGGTGGGGCAGAAAATGAGGGGCGAAGCACCAGAGCTGAGAGTGCCTGGCTGTTCCAAGTATGGTACAACTTTGACCATAAGTATCCTTCACAGAGACCAGAGCGTGGCCCTGGGTCCTTGGTTCCCCAGCCAGTCGAAGAACAGCTGCTACTAGGAAGATTCAGGACCACCTTCCCTTCCTCAGCTGTGGATTCCTGTCTCTCATGTGGCCATGTATCTGGGCCGAGGCCCAAGAAATGCAGCATGATATATCTGTCGTATGTGCCATGCCTGTAGGGGCAGAAGATTATTTTAGTTTTCTGCCAGTTTCTAAATCCCCCCGAGATTTTGTCACAAGGCCAGCTCTCTGCTGTGTCCAGAAATGACCGATCCCATACCACTAGCAACAAACATTTGGGAGACCTGAAACCAAAACTTACAGAGCACCGTATTATTAAAGGGTCAAAGAATTACCCTCAAACTCCTGAAAAGTGCTTTCCTTAGAATGAAGTCGGGCAGACCTGCTTCTCACCGGCGTGCAGCAGGAAAGGACTAGCAGTTGACTAGAACTGTAGTAGTTGTGATGACTTAATGTAGGAAAATAGGGAAGGAAATCTGCAGCCAGGTATGGAGGACTGACCACTGATCAGCCGATCAGCCCTTATATAAACATCATGGTGGAATCACAGGAAGAATGGATTAATCTTTGTTCAATCTCTCTAAAGCTCTGCCCAGGGCAGTGGGTGACTCCCCAGGCTATTAATAGCCCCCTCCCCAGGCACAGAGGCCCTGGGGTAGACCTCTGCATCCTTTCAAAAATTGCTACGAAAGGGGAACTGATTGGATACGCGCAGGCCTTGAGCCAACTGGCGCTGTGGTGTATTTCTGTCTGAAGGGGCCTGCTGTTCTGTCTCCATAGCATATTAAGTTTCCCCATATCTTAGACATCTTATTGAATTCCTGATCTTTTCAAGGAGCAACATTTTTAGAATTCCATTGACTGGAAGTCCACAAGGAAGGCACCCGAGATTTGGAAGTCTGTCTCCGAAGCAGCTCAGTGCCTGCTGAAAGAAAATAAACCATTCTCAGCTATAGTCAAATTGTCTGGGGTATTCTGGGAACTGAAGTCCACCGATCTGGAGAGCTCCAGGGTTGGGGGAAGGTTGATGGAAGCGTCAGCTGGAAGGCCAGGAGGAACCAGGACTCATGGGCAGAGACGCTTGATCTGTTTCGCCACTGTTTTCTGGCAGTTCATTTTTGTACTCCTTGCCTTTTTTGAGTTTGGCACTTCCAAGAGTGCCGATAGAATGATAAAACTTTTTTTTTTTTTTAAAGCAGTACTACATTACTTCCAGAGTCCACCAGTTTGGGTTCTTCGTGAGCATCAAATAGGTCATAGTGTTTGTGCACCAACGAAGACCTTGGTGAAAGCTTTAAGGAATCCTCTTGTAGTTTATGATAGAGTTTATTGGTTCTGTTGTCTTAGGTAGTTTTAGTAGAAAGGCTAGAGCTAGAAAAAATGTGTAAGAATATTGTCTTTGGATAAAAATCTATTATTTCTAAAAAGAGAGACGCCTCCTTTGCCTTAACCAAGACACCCCCCCAGTTACTTAAAACCTCTCTTGACACACAGCGGTCCCCCCCTGACCACCACACTCCCCAGCTGCTGTGGGCCCATTGCAAGGTGCTTGACGAGTCCACAGGCTTATGAGGTAAGTCCAGGACTTCCCCAAATAGCATTAAGGGCCTCCTTTTGCGCACCAGTGCATTCATCTTGGCATTCTCACAGCTGCTAAGGTGGGCCGTGCAAATCCGTTTCTAAAATAGGACTGGACAATCTGTGCGTGGAGTTGCATGGTTAACATTTAGGAAAGGAGGGAAGGGCCCCAGGGGGTGGGCCAAATGAGGCTAAGTGGTGAGGACGTGGTTTGGGTTGTGATTTTCTGAGGTGGCTCTAACCAATGTCTTGGATACTGGGGCGGGTTTTTTCTTTGTTCAGCAATTGATAAGCCTCTTTCCAGCCTCAAAACTCTTGGGTCTCCCTCGTGGATTCCCCATTAACCACCATTCCTCTAAATGAGCAACACACACAAACAGTGCAGCATGGAGTTGAACGATGCTTTCCATGGTTAAAAAGGCTCTCAAACTGTTCCTCAGAACAAAGAAACATCTCCCCCCACAATCCCATCCCCTCCACTGCAGCCCTGTCTTGCTAAAAAATGATGAATGTGGTTCCAGAACTAAGAAGTTGCCCATCCCTCTTACTGGAGCCTCTTTGGATTTCTGCTGTTAAATAAAGCCATGGATTGATCTGATCTCTCCTCTCCCCTCCCCTCCCATCCCCTCCCCTCCCCTCCAGAATCAAGAGCAGCTGAAGGATGATGATTCGGATCTGATTTTGAATGATGGAGACATCAGTTTGACGTACGGGGATTCCACTGTGAATTCTGATTCTTTGCCATCGGGTGCCTCGAGACGAGTTGCTGGAAACGGTTCCGAGGACACGCTAGACCAAGAGCTCGGCTTTGGGGACCATGAACTTGTCATCCGGGGCACACGCCTAGTTCTCCCCATGGATGATTCCGAGCCCCCTTCGGGCGTGGTTGATAATGCTCGCCACGGCCCAGCATAAGATCAGTTTCTTGACACGACTGGTAGTCCAAAAGAGAGAAAAAAATCCACAGATGATGGTGAAGAAAACCTGGCTATCTATGACCCAAAAACCTACTGCATGTCTCAGAACGTCTCAGCTGTATAAATATGATTTATTTATATGGTGTCAGGAGAAACATTCGCTATCTGCGCAAGGCAGTTCATGGAGAGCAAGCTGTTAATTTTGTACGCTTAAAAACAACCACCTGAAAGTGATGAACTTGCAATGAATAGCAGTGGAACTGTTTTAGGATACAGTTGTGCTGTGACAGCCGTGGGGAAGTGAAGAGACTTGTAGGACAGAGCAGCTTTGCAGCAGCCCTTCCAGTTGTATAGACTAATTTTTTTGTTGGGTTTTTACCATTCAGTGCCCATTTCTCTGATACCAGAAAAGGAAGGGGATAAGTTTGAGGAGTGGGAGCCTAGACTAGGTAGCCAAACTGCAGTAGGAAAAAGATCTCTAAAGCGGAAGAGGATTGCTTGGAATCTTCACATTTTATTTTGAAGAACATCCTTTGGATGTTGGACAGATTTGGGGAGAATTGCCCAGAGAGCTTCTGTCTTCGGCCGTTTGGATTTCCACATTTAATAGGGAGTTAGCCAGATGATGGATGGGATTTGACTGCTGTGGACGCAGGAGGGTCAGACTTGCAAGTTGTGTGTTAACAGGAACAACCGGTAATCCAAGAGTGAGGGTCAGAAAGACCAGAAGCAGTTCTTAAGAAGGCGCTTCTTTGTGGTTTTGCTGACACGGAAGGTGCGTGTTTATAATTGTGTTTTGTTTTTTGTTTTTCTCTTGCCTTATCTCATAGGATTAGGGCGAGGTCCTGAATTACGGAGTACTCAAAGCAGCCACTGTTTTGTTTATTTTCACACAGAGAATTAGCGCAGAGTTTCCAGAGCAGGTTGGGGCACCAAGAAGTGGCCAAGTTAGTTTTGAGCTTCTGGTCTAGTGGCTGCATCCTTCGGGGGGAATGTTTCTAACCAGTGTAGGTCTACTAAACAGACCAGCTGGAGAAGTAGCATTTGGGATTGTTCAAAGGACACAGGTGGAGATTTTACAGACCGTCCAGGTTTTTTTTAAAAGATATTTCAGAACATCCATCCATCTTGTATAGTTGCACTGTTTGGTAACATTTGCGTGTGTGTGTGTCTGTAATGAAAAAAAAGACTTCAGTCTTGCATCGTTTACAATTCAGTGAGAAAAATGCTGATTAAGATCCTATTATTTCTTGATGTAGAGTTTTTTTTCTTTGCCTGTGGAAGAGCACTGAACAACCTGTTGATTTACATTCAGTTTGTTCAGATTTTTCCTGTAACTTCCTGTTTGAATCGCACTGAGAAGTCAAGAACTCTCAGTGCACCTTTTCCAGGTACATCTCACGGGCAGAGCCGGTACTGTTACAAACGGAACATAATCGCTCTCTTGAGCATAAAACATGCAAAGCCAAATCTTATTTTAGAATTTTGAAATATTTTTTAATGTCCTATTTTATTCTAGTTACTAACGGTCCTTATCTTTTATCCTGTTTTAAAAATGGGTTTCATTTTGATCACTGACCATAATAATAAAGCTATCACTCTTTTAGATTTGCATCAGCAGTAAATAGCAGTGTGGCTTCCCTTTGGCTATTCATTCAGTCCCCAGAGAAGTTTCTCAGCCTAGAATAAGGGTTGTACATCCACGTAGGCCTTCCTCTGACTGAGGAGGAAAAACTTGCACAAAAATTGTGCTGGCCTGGGTTTTTATGAACGTGATCCTTCTGCCCTGGAGACGGGCTGGGTAGCTGGAGACACCCTGCGTTTCAGTATATAAAGCATAACTTTGTGGCTTTTTTCTGTTTGTTTAAAAGAAGAGCAAATGAGAACAGATAGTTTTTGTTGAGATTTCTCCCCAGAAGAGCTGAGTTGAACCCTCCTGTCTTATCCTTTTAAACCTTCTCTAAGATTGGCTGTGCTTGACTTTTGCCCCAAAGTGATTCTTCTAGTCCAGCTGTTAACAATGGCACGGAGTTGATTCCATTTCAGCCATGAAAACAAATTACCTTTTGTTTTCCAAGACTTTCAAGTCTGAATTAGCCTTCCTTAAGTCTCCTTCAGAGCAGTTTTTTGGAGTAGCCCAGAATTGTGGGGTCTCTCTTCCCTCTGAGTTGCATTCTGCTTGCATCCTGTCCAAATGCATGTCCCATCCACATTTCTCAAGAGTAGCTCCAATTCTTTAGTGACACAGCTTGTCTGAGAAGCATAAAACTTCACTGCACTGGAAAAAAATGTGTTTTCTTCTCCCAGATTTTGTTTGTTTGGTAACATTAGGTCTATTTTTTTTTCCTGCTATGCAGGAACTTCATTAAATATATGTGAATGCATGTGTGCTTTTATATAATGTCTGTATCTTAATGTCCAATGTTAAAATAATAACAATACTATTGCTAATAAGAATATGAGAAATATTCATGTGTTAAAATTTTTACATCACTTGCACAGTGATAATTCTTTGGTTTAAAATGTTTCTAAGCAACAGCTAATGATCTTGTGTAGCCTGATCGCCATTAGGTTTGCAGACCTCTGTATCTGAAAATGTAGAATGTTGTCAAGGAAACATATTTCTGATATTGGATTCCACTTCTGCTCCGTCCTCCCCAAATTGGAAGATTGCAGACTCGTACCAGTTGAGCTTGTTTTTGTAAATCATGATGAAGACTTGTCCTCCAGATGTTGCAGAACTGCAGTTCCCAGCAACCTCAAATGCCATGGCCAAGTGAGGCATGCTGGGAATTATAGTCCACCAACAACAGGTTGAAGATTGCTCTTCCTGTTGTGTGTTGTTCAACATCTGGAAGGCCCCATTTTGTCCTGTTTGAGGCTTTCTTTACTTTTTGACTTGCCCAGACCAAAAGTAGAACAAGATCCCTTGCAATTTTGGGATCTGGATCTGGTCTCTATCACATATATTAAACTGAGTGGAGCTAACAAGTTTAGGAAGATCCTAGATCCTGAGGGAATCCGTGTTCAGTGGTTCATGCTTTGCTGCCTTAGCTGGACTACAGAGGGAAATGCTCTCACACCCATCCCCTTGACTGTGTCTGCTTTATTTTCAAGAGCAGTTGTGCAATGTCAGATCGCTCCCATAAGGTTGAGAACCATCTTACAAATGTGTCATTTATTTAAATCAGCAACTCGCTAACGTGTGGTTGAGGAGAGAAGTCTTGTGATGTAAGCATTCGTTGCAGTGTATTCTAGTTAGGAACATGGCAGAGATCTCCTGGTTTTAAAAGGCAAGCCGATGGTTCCTGGTGGGTCTGTGGGAGAGGACATCCTATAACACAGCCTCTTGAGAAGCTGTTCTCCTAAGCGGGACTCCTGAACGCATTGACTGCATCTAATACTGTTTGTTTCCTGAGCTGTACGTTAAGAATATAGGGGATGTTGCAAGAACTTTCGGGGAGAAACAACTTCATTTCCCATCTTCAGACTAAGCACCTCTATAAAACAGATCCTGTATCTTGAGGATTTCTCTTTCTCAGTGTATAATAATACACTTCCTATGTCTTTCGTGCAAGTTTGCTGTTAAAGGCATATTAACAACAACCACACCCACTGTAGCTCCAGATTTCTAATGCCTGTGATTGTTTGTAACTGCTTATTGAATTAATACACTATTGTTGAGATAGATCCCAGGTTTTATGGCCGGTGAGAGAGAGAGAACCCTCTAACGCTGGAACCAGTGACAGATTCCCACTGCCGCTCCTCCAGGATTAACCACGATCTGCCAGAAATAGAACATGGTGTTGATAAGTGTGCATTTCTTTCTTTGATACTGCAGCAAAGCAATTCCTTGTGCTTAATTTCTTCAGGGTCTCTTGTACCATGTTCTTACGCGACCTCAAAAACAGCAGTGGGGATATATATATATATAAGCTTGTGACTCCAGCCGTGGTTTTAAAATCAATTACCCTTGAAATAAGCTGTTCTGTAAATGATTCAATTTCTGCATCAGTGACACTGTATGTCAAGTTCTAGTGTTCTCTACTTACTGTTGAATTGTCTCTTTTTATGGTATTAACTGCTATAGTTGTGGCATTCTTGTAATTATATACTTAAGCATAATTGCACCTTTCTTTTTGATTTATGATAACTAAATCTTTTATTGTTACTTGCACTGTGAAAGAAATCATGGGCCTATAAAAAGTTTGTTTCTTTCAATTTTATGTGTCTATGTGGTTTTTCACTCCACACAAAAATGTGTTTTTAAACTAATTTATTCCTTAGTCAGTGGACTTTATTTTTTTTTTAGTCACATTTTGAATCTCACACTACTGAAAAAAGTGATGACATGCAAAGTGGAAAAGGAAGATATATCAAGATTCTGTACAATAACTCTACCATAACATAATTATAAATGAATAAAAGGCATCTTTGTTAAGTTCTGTGATTTGGTGAGCAAGTTTTGACCTTACTGTCTTCCCCAGTTATCTGTATTGACTAAAGAAAAAAATAGAACATCGTCTCCAAAATTGCAAGCCTGTATGGCCAACAGAATTGGGAATTATCCTGACATCTCTGCCAGGCACAAAGTTAAAACAAGCTGATCTGCAGGGTGGGATATCATCTGACAATGGAGACAACAGATTTGTCTTGGCCTATAGGTTACTCTCTCCTCTGCTAATGGGCTCACTGACTACGCTAAGCCACAATCCTGGAATCATAGTTTGCTCAATAAGTCCCAGCTTAGATTGGCACATACCCTTCTGGCTTTTAGGAAGGGCCTGAAGACTTGGCTTTGCCATCTAGCTTGGAGATCTGGTTGTGGTGGTGTGTTTATTTTGGTGCCTTCAAGTCCATGTTGACTCCCGGTGACTGCCCGGACAAGCCCCTGTGGTTTTCTTGGCCAGGTCTTTCAGAACTGGTTGGCTCTGGCCGCCTTCCTAGGGCTGAGAGAGAGGGACTAGCCCACGGTCACCCCGCTGACCCCGTGCCTAAAGTGGGACCAGAACCCACCACCTCCTGGTTTCTAGCCTGGTGCCTTCAGCACTACAGCTCTGGTGGAGTGGTGCCTCCCAAATGGCTCTACGGTTAATAAGGTGGACTGCTCTCGTAGATGATGCTTTTTATGACTTTAACAGTTTTCAGTGGCTTTCAACGTGTTTTAATGGTTTTTGCTGTGTAATTTTGGCTCTTTTTTGGATTTGTGTGTGTGTGTGTGTGTGTTTTAGCCTGGTGAGCCACCCAGAGGCATGTATGTGAGATGGGCGGCTATATAAACTGAACAAACATATCGACAGATTACCTGGATTCACACCTCAGAACGAAAGCACGTTAAGTTGGAAACACATGCCTGGGTGCCTCCAGCTGAGGGACTTCACGGGTGATGAAGCACTTTTCTTCAGAAGTAGCACGGACCGAGATGCTTGGCTTCGCTGGTGTAAAAATAAGGCGGGTGGAAGGGGCGGCTGGCGTGAAACGCAGCATCTGAAGCCTTTTCCATCCATCTGGTTCGCTCACTGGCCACGTTTCTCCACCTTCTGCCCTAATTGGACAAGTTCACAAGTTCAGCGCTAAAAGGAGGCTAGGAACTAGGAACTTGTTTTAGGGGGGAAAAAAAACAGCGCCAAACTTCTTCCAAAATATAAAACCTGTGTCAGACTGTTGGTAGCTCCAGAGGAGACTAATATGGGGTAGAGTCTTAATCTGTGAAGATAAAAGTCACAGAATATACAACAATTGCAAGGGAACAACATTCCCAAGGGAACGTCTAAATGCTGGAATCTCTAAGGATGAGGCCCTTTTCCCCTCGTGCAAGATGAACTTTTTAATGCTCTGTCGAATATTTAGACCGGAGCCTCTCAGCAAGGATTTTTGCCTCCAGTCGCCTCTTTCTCCCAAAAATATCCAACCCAAACCAGTTCTCCTTCCCTGCCCTGAGAGGGGCCAAATGCTTTGGGGGCATGGCTTTTGCCAGCTAGAAGTGGCCATATATGGTTGCAGTCTCCAAATGTGGTGTGGTGTGTGTGTGTGAGCCACACTCGCTTCTAAGGTGATGTGTGCTTTGCTGCGTCTCTTTTACATAATCACTGGAGAATGTGGAAAGCAAAATATAATTGCTCACCAGTCAAAAATCTGTCTCTCCCACACGCTGGCTTCACAAACAGCCACAGGTCGTTTCCTCCTGCGGCACATTAGTGCAAAAATTAAAACGGCCGGAATCTGCTTTCCCTGGCCCTGGTCCCGCCACATGCCTTCCCAGGCCGAAGAACCCTATTCTGCGCAACCCAACGGACGAGGTTTGCCAGACACCCTACGCCAGAAGCTAACCTTAGTGGCTAGGTTCACAAAACAAGCTCAGCTGAAGAGTGTTTTAGCTGGGGGTTCACTGTGTCATGTGAATGTGGCCAGTAGCGTAGGGCAGGGCTGGCCGGGCATCTGGGCTACCCTTGGAAGAGTGAGTAGGAAGGCCTCATGGCCCTTCAGGAGTGGCTTCTCCTTCTGCTTTCCTCCCCTCCAGCCACCCACCCTGGTCAACTCTCCCTGGGTTCACACAACACCCGCTGAGCCACAGAGTTCACACACTGTGCAAACCAATGGCCAGCTTGGTGAACTGGTGACTTAGTGGGCCAGATGAACCCAGGAAACGGGGTTACTGTGAGCAAACTATCAGCAGCAAGCAACAGCAGGAGAAATGGATTCCGAGGTTGGCCTTGGTTTGCATCTGGATGGGAGACCACTGGGGAATCCCTGGGGGCTGGAGCAGCTGCACAAGTGGAAACGTGGATGTCTGCTCTGATGGCTGTTGCTGGAAAAAAATGGGTAGATGTTTCCATATTTAGCTCTTCAGAATTGGTTAATTAGGGTCACTTCCTTCTGAGCACATTTTGCAACAAAGACTGAAAACTTCTCACCTCCCTTCCTCCACTTTCAACATTTCCAAATAAAGCTTTTTTTCCCCCTCTCTGCTGCAGCTGCTTTATCAGTGACTAATAGAACAGCACCCTCTTCCAAGGCACAATTGCTCATACTTGGTTCTTGTTTGGACAGCAGGCCAAATCTTCATTTGTCTCCATGTTCATTATCCTTTTCAGACATGGATATGAGCACGGAAGTTCCCCATAGAACTTTCCCAGTGCATTTCAAGACATTTTTTTGCTTAGGATTTAACTGAGCCATTTGGTTTTAAACATCACTTTCAAATCTCTAGCTGGGGGTCTTCCTGTGTCTCCCATCCATCCATCCATCCATCCATCCATCCATCCATCCATCCATCCATCCATCCCTTCACTTACCCATCATCTCTGTCTCTTTCTCTCTCTCAGATTATTTCCCAAACTTGAGACAGAGATTTTTTTTTTCTTCTAGGGTAAAATAAGAATCACCTTTTACCATTTATGCAGCCAAAGGATTATTTGTAAGGGAGGAGAGCCGTTAACCTCATTGTTTTAGAAACATGAGATTTCTGGTCAATAGAGCTTTGCAATTTTCCCTTAATTGTTGCTATAAAAGGTCAAACAACATTAGTGGGCAGTCTAACCAGTCAATTCTTTAGAAACAGGCCATGGATTCTTAACACTCATGTTTGGGGAATATAATATTAGACCACGTCATTGATCTGTAACTGTCCCATTTTGAAGAGGATCCATGGAGATGAGTGTGTAGTTTCCTAATATCCCCACCAACTTCAAAAGTTGGATTTCCACCAAAGTCTCCTTCTGAGACAAGAATGGAGAACCTGTGGCTGCCAGATGTTGCCGAAGTACAATTCAGTCTTCTTCACTACTGGTTGTGCCAACTGGACCTGCTGGTCACTGTATTTAGCAACATCTGGAGGATCACAGGTTTTCTACCACCAGTGTTAAGAAAACTTTCTCATGACTCTGGAGGAATTCTTGTCCTACGTAATTTGTGTTGCAGCTGAGACTTTTTCACACCAGCATTGCTCTTGGTCCTTTATTAATTTCAACTCAAAGAAGTCTTTCGTTTGATTTTTAATGGCTTTGAAGGAGCGAAGTCAGTGGGTTGATGGTGAAAAATGCAAATAGCATAAGGCTTTGCATGAACAACAAGGGTGCCACCACAGCATGGAAACAGGGTAAAGGTCTGTCTGATACACCTGGAAACAGGTGCCAGAGAACAGAAACGGTGCAGGAAAAGGAAAGTGAAGAAACAGTGACCAGAACGATCCAGGGTTGGATCAACTCCTTTATGAGGAGGTGTTAAAGCACTGAGGAAATGTTTTATATGGGAACAAAATGAGAAATATGGAAAGGTGAGGTCAAGTTAACAAAACTCCTGCATGGCATGGAAAAATTATGGAAAGGAGTTTTCTTTCTTGCTTCAAAAACCTACAGCGTGGGTCAACCAATGAAGCTGAATTTGGGGTAATTAAAGAGAAGAAGGGAGGGAGAAAGGAAGGAAGGAAGGGTGGAAGGGGGAGGAATCTGGGAAGAAAGGAAGGAGATGGATGGGAGAACGAAGGGAGGGAGGGAAGGGCGTTTTCATGCTGCATACATAGCTGAACTGGGCAACTCACTGATGCAGTGGGCTCAAACATAGGAATAAGTCAGGGTTTCTTTAATCCTGTTTTAATCATGATAGGCCAAGCCATATTCCATTTACAAACCACTAAAGTATTGGGCTAGCAGTTATGACACCTCAATTTTGTAATCTGCCTTACAATTATTGCAGTTTCCTTCCTCCCCTGCCACCATGCCAAGGGCCTTGGGGATGGGCATCTCCCGGGCTGCACTTCTGAGCGAGCTGGTGATGCTCCTTTTGTGCCCTGGCCTTCCAGTCCTCTGCAGCCTCCTTGGCTGCCCAGCCCTTGCCTCCTGATATCTTCCCATCAGATGAAGTGGGAGCCAGGGAGGCTGCAGCCCAGGAGCGAGGGTGCAATTCCGGCACGGCATTCACATGCAGCCCTCACCCCCCTGGTCATCCAATGGGAGTGCAAGAGCATTGCCCCTCATTCAGGAGCATGGTGCTGCTGTTTCGCACCTCCCTCCCTTGAGCACCAACTTACTTCTCTGAAACTTTTCTGTCTTTGGGAAGAAATCTCTCCAGTTCGGCTTTACCAAACCGAGTGGAAACTGGTTGATAAGCTGCACAATAACTTTTCTGCCGAGTGCTGAGTCCTAATGCGGGGGGCGGCGGGGGAATGAGAATTTTGTAATCCAGAGGCAATGAAATATTTGCCCCCCCATATTTTCCACTGGCACTCATTTTCTGGCCTTCTCACCCCACCCCAGCCCTCAGCATAAAAATTCCTTGTGGCTGAAGTCACTTCCCTTTTGTGCAATGTTATCTAAACTGTTTATAAGCTGTGGGTCAATTCTTCTGAATTGTGACAATGTTGTGGGGCAGGGAGGAATTGAAGGGAGTGTTGGCTGGTGCCTCCCCAGCCATATATGGCACTCGGATCAGCCTTTATGGGTGCCGAGGGCTGACTTTATGAGAACTCTCACCCCGCGCCTCGTCCGTTTAGCACTCAAATACCTTTCATTGTCACAGTGTGCAGTTTGTCTGCCCCATGGGAAAGAGGGACAGTTTTTTGGGGGTGGAGAGTAGGGAGGTGAGAACTGGATGGGAAAGACGGTGAGAACAGGATGCTTGTTAATTTTTACTTGCTTTTTAAAATCCTTTTTTTTTTTTTGGAAGCATTTATACTCCACCTTCCCAAAGTTTTGTCCAGACTTGCAGTGATTCAGGCTTTAAAACTGAGAAACCCACATCTTCCACCACAGTGAGGTCAACAACACTAAAAGCACGATGGTCTTTTGGCTCAGATCAGATTCTGAACCAAAGTTGGTCTGGTTCAGACTCCTGCAGATGCTGCTGAAGGCAACCAATTTTTTCTGCTTCGGTCTTCAGCGAATGGGACAGGACTTGTGTCGAGTTGCATTTCTGCAGCAGAAACTGTTGGTTGCAGTGGGTCTGGTGGGGGGCTCCCTTGTCTCTTATGGTGGCTCCCCCCTTCTCTTCACCCTCTGGGCTGTTGGGGGAGTCAGCCTCACCCAGGGTTGGAGCCCTCCGACCGTGTTTGAGGTGACCCCAAGGGTCCCGTCCGCTGCCCCGGAGGCAGGCTTCAGACATGGCAGCTTCAACCCCCCCCCCCCATGCATTTTTGGGCTGAAATCTTTGGCCCTTCTCTCTGGGGGGCTCCCGGGACCACAGGACAGGTGCTGATGGGCTGTTCACTTCCAGGGGCAAACTGCAATCCTCGGGGCACACCTGCGTGCGCCTCGATCCTGTTCCAGGGCTGAACTGAGCACCCTCGGAGGGGCTCGCTTGGCAGGGCATCTGAACCCTCCTTTTCTCAATTCAGCCCACTCTCCGACCCCCCCGTCTAGGCAGGTGGGGGCGCCTGCAGCGTGCCAGCCCCAGAGGTGTTTCGAGGGGGTGTGCGAGCCCAGCCCAGGTCTCTTCTGGGGGACCTCTGTCTGTCCTCCCCCAGCTCACCAAAGCGGAAAATCCTGCAAAGGTCTGGCGCGACTCCCTCCTCCGGCTTGGCTGTGCCCTGCCCCGTCCTGGGCTCCACCCTGTAGCAACTCTTCTGCTGGCCTTCGAGCTCCCTGCCTGCCTGCCTGCCTGCCTGCCTGCCTGCTGCTCCTCGCATCAGCTTCGGCGGAGCTCTGCTGGTACCCAGACGGCCGCTCGGAAGACGCCGGCGGGTGAGTCGCTCCCCCGTCTTCTGCAGCATCTCCCCCAGCAAGCCGAGGCTGGGGTCTCCTGGGCAGGTTAGGGGGTGGAGGAAGCAGTCCCCTTCTGGAGGCTCAGTTGCAACAGCGACAGCCTGAGTCAAAGTCCATCAGAGCCGGACTGGAAGGAAAGGGGAACTACGTTCCTGCCTGCGCTCGAAAGAGCGGCTCTTATTTCAGCTTAATTTCCCCTCGCGGCGTCCTAACGAAGTGGTCCAGGGAGATCCGTCTGATGGCCAGGCGGGCTGGCGAATGGAAACTTTCCTCTTCGTTCCCCACGGGCCTCGGATTCAAGGTTTGCCCACCTTCCGAGTGTGGGGACTACCACTCCCACAACTCTCAGCTAGCAGCCCGCTCTGGGCTGTGGCTTCTGGAGGGTGTAGTCCTAACCCATCTACCGCACTCTTTCAGAGCACAGAAATGGGGGGAATTGTGGCCGCTTTGCACGATTAAGATTGCCAAACCCGGACTGCCTATGAGATCTGCTCCCCTCTCTTTCATTTGGTGATCCTGCTCAAACTTTTGGTCAAGATTCCTGATAGTTGTAGTTTTGCAGATCCCTTTTGTTCAGGCGAGACAATAATATTTCCGTTCTTCCCTACCCCAGCAGTCATTTCTAGGACCATCTTTTAAGTTCTCTGAAAGAGCCATTGTAGGAGAGAGCAGTGTATGTTTATAGTAGGCAAAGATCAGGGGGAGTCTGCTAGCATCTTTTCTAACTACAGTACGGGAACCTATTTTATTAAAAGGCATAAGCTCTCGTGAACTATAGATTGCTTCATCAGAAGCATGTGGTTATATGCCTTTTAATAAAGTGAGTTAGAAAAGGTGCTAGAAGATTCCACCTGATTTCTGAAAGAGCCAGTAATTTTAAACATCTGCCTTTCCATGTATGCCCTTCAACCTGTTGCATCTTGCACTAACACTAAGAATCTAAACTTGGGTGTGAGCGCCTTTTTGGGAAATCTGAGCTTTATGAGTTTTGCGGATGGCAAGTGGTACTTTGAACACTCAGGGCACAGGGTGGCAAGAAGATTAAATCAGGGTCTGCAGATCCCAGGTTTGAACCTTGTTCCCTCTGGCATCAATTCACCAGCTTTCGATTCCTTGGCCCAGCAGTCAGGCAAGCCAGAGGGCCAAATTCACAACAGTACAGAAAAGCAAACATTAAAATCCTTCCATAATTTTTAAAGCATATATAAATGAAATGGGGGGAGGGGAGGGGAGGGGAGGAGGAGGGGATCTAGCTTAAGGTATTGTAAAAGATAGGGTTGACATCATGTCTGGTTTATTCGCACAACTTTTTCTTGTGTGTCTTCAGAGGAGAAATGAATGCAATGGTATTTCCCAAC